CGGATTCCCTCTCGATCGGTGTCCTTGACAATAGTTTTGCGAGAAGGTTGGTCTGCATCATCAAATTCCTTTCAATGATGCTCCGGTATGACAAGAGCTGTCGAGTTGGTTAACCGAGCTGACCCCCGCTTTTCGTTGAGCTCCATGGAAAAAGGATTTCGATCAATTTCTCTGGCTCTAGCAGGGTCGTACTTTGCCCGGATACGTTGATGTACATTGTAAATTGTGTCTTGACCGAGTGACCGAGTTGAGAATGGAGCTCAACATGATGCAAAGTAGGTATGTTTTTCTGAGATGGCTGATGCTCAAATTCTGAAATGGCGCTGAAAATCGTAAGAGTGTGATTACCGTCCAACACGAAGATCCTAACCAGAATCAAATCTGCAATAGAATTCTCACCGCATCACTTAGCGGGTGATGCCTTGGCGCGCATACAACTGCTTCCATTGTCAATATTTGTCACCGTTTAATATGCTCGACAACTAACTATTGCTTCTGCTTAATACTCTTTCAAGAAATGCCATAATCACCAAAATAACATAATCACGTCATGTGTTTAGCATGAATTGTTCCGAAGTACAATGTATCCATGATCAAATCTTTGTTTTGTCCTGTGTATTACGCGTTTTGACGGTGCGTAATACAAGTACAACAGGAACCTCTCCAGGATATACGGCTATATAAACTAAATTAACCCTGGGAGCACGGTTAGAAAAGCTGTATGAGTAACTTCACAAAGATTAATTCGTTCCAAAAAGTTGCCTATAGCAGTATAACGGACAATCCGTGCTAAAATGTGTCCGATCAATCCTTTGATACTTGTAGTAGTATGCACGATGCGCTTGGATTCCGAAGTATCCATGGTCAAATCCTTCTTTTATCCCGCGTATTACGTGCATAAATACAAGGGATCTTTCCAGGATATGCGGCGATATACAGTAAATTAATACCGGTACACTTACAATTATTTCGATGTGACGAGCGTCAGGCGCTACCCATCAAGGACGAATGGCGTTACTGGACAGGAGTCCAACAACGTTCGAAGAGTTGTAGCTCATTTCGAATTGTTCTATCACAAAGCAACGGATTCCCAAGCTTCTCAGCAAGACTACCATGCCGCGCTTCGTTTTAAAACTTCTGGCATCAGTGGCGTTGGCCATAGGAAGCGTTGCCGCGGTAGACAACGGCGTGTTGATGGGCGAGGCGTTCGGTGGCCCTCACGGTGTCAAGTACTCTGACCTCGACTTGGTTAGCCCGGGACAAACAGTGCAAGTCATTACGATCCGCTCCGGTGAACGCGTCAATGGAGTAGGCCTCGATATCACTGATCCATCGGGACAAAAGACTACCTTGTACCATGGAGGTCGAGGTGGTGACGAGAGCACCCTCTCTCTTGAAGCGGGTGAATTCATCACTGGTATCGAGTATCACTGGGGTGAAAAGGGCCACCGCACGCGCATCAAGTACATCAAGTTCACTACGAACAAGAATCACAGTATCTCCGGAGGTCTCCCTACGGAGAATATTGGCAAAGATTCAGCTCCCAAGGGATATCAACTGGGTGGTTTTTTCGGCTACTGTGCCAAGGAGCTCGACTCGGCAGGTGCCATTTGGACGAGCAATACGCCCGTGGTCTAAATTAGATCAATGAAGGATCTTGTTTGTGGATGCACGTATTGAGCGCTCCAGTTCCAGGACTCACACGCGCTTAAGTACCAATAACAGATTTCAAAACGATACCTCCTTTTATTGTTTTTTTTTTATATTTTTGATGGGATAAACTTTTGTATGTTATCTGAAATTTATTTCAGAGCTAAGGAAGGATCTGACATTTCATGAAGATGCAATAAGTAGCGATTCCGTAAGGTTTCCAACACGAGACGTACGACCTACAATAGCGGTGTACAATACTTCTGCGGACCAGACGCAGGGTGCGTGGATATTTTTG